TTAATTTCATTTTCTATTCTTTTTTCGAAAAGAAATTTTTTTGTTCTCTCCTTCTCTTCCTTTCTATCTTGCCGATTGAATCTAATCTAGTTTTTTTTCGAGTTCGTTTCGTGAAAATTTTATATGTTCATATAAAAATTCATATTTCTTTTCGAATCTTATCGAAAAGAAGAAAATTTTTGAATTCTTTTTTTTTTTCTTCCCTTCAACAAATGCGTTTTCACATTTGTCGGAGATTAACGTTGGTAATTCCGGCAACTTTTGAGTACCCTTGGATCGTAGTCAAGAAGAGAGTTTTTTTTATGTCAAAAATAGAAAGATCAAAAAGAAAAAAAAAAAAGAAATGAAATAATGAAAGAAAAGAAAAAGAAAATAGAAGAAAAAGAAGTTCTCACTTGATCGAATTTAGCTTCATCGTCGAACGATTCGCGTAATTTAGCGGAAGGATCGGCTTTGAATAGAACGATCATCGCTCGTCCTTTTGTTGAAAAGAGAGGGAGAGTGAATGAGATAGTGAATGAGATAGAAAGAAAGATAGATAGATAGATAGATAGATAGATAGATAGAGAGAGAGAGAGAGAGAGAGAGAGAGAGAGAGATATTCACCAAACGGAAATGTATAAATCAAAATGATTTATAGAATGTTCTGGTCTGAATGAGTGACGAATTAAAACGCATTACGCATTTCGAGATTTAACGAGCCTTTCCCTAATGTTTCGTTCAATATTTAATTCCTTAATAATATCGATATAAAAAAATAAAAATAAAATACTTTTATCGCGGAAATTATTCGAATTAATTATGACAGTAGATTGTGAATATAAAAATATTATTAAAATTATATTTGATAATTTCTTTCCATAATATAAATAAAAAAAGAAAAAAGAAAAAAATTGATAAACTAAATTGCGTAAGATAAATAAATTTTATATGAAATTTTTCGACTCGGTTTACCTCTTTATAATTATTGGCACACGTCCGAATCGGAAAGTCCGAACTATTCTTGACTCTGACTACTTCGGATCGTACCCACTCATTCGATTAATATATCATAAAATATTGTACGTTATTAATAATTCTCGTTTAATATTATTAACGCGTTCAAACAAATTTTAAATTATTAGATATTATTAAAAGCCTTGTATTATTAACGAAGAAATAAGGAAAAAAAAAAAATAAAAGAAAAAAAGAATTCTATAATATACATGAGTGGATTAAAAATTGTTGAGTTTAACGAGACGATAGAAAGAAATGAAAGAAAACACATATTCGAGGTTTGTAGGTAGGAATCGATTAATGGCAATCTAATCGAGTCGATCGATCGTAATTTTCAATCGAATTCCCTTAGAGGGACTCATCAGATTTTCTACGCATACCTTATAGTACACAGAGAGAGAGAGAGAGAGAGAGAGAGAAAGGTACAGGTTTCCCCATCGATGTTCAGATCATTAACATTCCTGCGTCGTATCCTCGACGTCATACTACGTAGAGGCACCCATTAGTACTGCCTTTAATCATTACTAGATCAATTCGGTGATTTGCATGTTCCGCTTAACTGATATTCTCTATCTATGTACGTATGTATCTATATATGTATATATTTATGTATGCATGTACGTATTATACACTTGTGCATGTATGCATCTTTGCATGTATGTAATCATATGTGTTTCTCTCTTTCTCTCTCTCTCTCACTCTTTCTTTCTACATAGAGAAACAGAATTAGAGTGAAGTCGACGATGCACAGTTTGACGATTTGCCCTCTGAATGGCCAAACAGGCTAATAACGTTACAAGAGTTAAGAGGTGGGAGTGGGCTGAGGGAATAATAAATTATATCAGTCCCTACCAATCCTTTTCATTTTCTTTCTTTCTCTTATTTCGATGGAACTACTCTAATCTCTAATCGAGACTAATCGCTTGATCCTTTATTGTTAACTCCCACCACCATTCTCCTTGTTTTAAAGTTCTTTTATTATAGCCCTTCAATACGCTAATAGATGGAGAACAACGATCGATTCGTCGAGTGGTTTATTTACTTCTATCGAAATATTATTATATTTTAATAATAAATCGCTCCTAGAAATAGCAAAAGAAAAAGAAGCTATTATAACAGGACAAAGTCCTAATAAAATGAGGAAGAGAAAGAAATATATTATATGTTATTTAATAATATATTTTTTTCTTCTTTTCTTCGATTATAACTATAATAATTAATGGATTTTTTGTTTAATTATCAGTTCTAGAAAACGATACGAGATATTTCAATTTTATCAATCATGATAATTGTATCAAGTATGATATATTGTCGATTCGGAATACGTTTTTTTTTTTTTTTATTTTTATCAAATTTTATCATTTACATTACTCCGTTTCGAAAGATAATGAATTAATATTTATTATTAGAATATAGGAAATTTTAAAACGGACGGGAAAGTAATTGTCGTTCAATGTAGAAAAAGAATAATGTCGCCATGAGTCAACTCGGTTGGTTGTTCGTACGAAGAGGAGATCTTGGACGTTGATACAAAAAACGTTTTCATCGAAGATCACAGTCATATATGTTCGAGTTTAGTGTCCTTTCGTAAACGTAATACGATAAAAATCGTAGATTTATTGTTTTAACGCTAAAACAGGGTTCTACGACGTTGGCTGACAAACGTGATATATAATTACCATAATTTGGTATATATGCAAAAATATCTCATTTAAATCGATTCATCGAATTATTTTTGAACCTGTCGATAATAGAAAAAATGTCTAAGATAAAAGTTAACTAGTTTAAGGGGGCATATTATCTGATATTATTAGTTATTTTTTTTTATATAGGTCAACTTTGATTTTTCAAATGATTTTTAAATTTAATTATATATTTCTTAATGCACCATGTATGTTCATGCAGGTTTTTATTTCCTACATATAAGTAACAAACAATTTATGGTGAAAAATAAGTTTTATAGTTATACAAGTTCATATAATTTGTTTGCAAGATATTTTAATTTTAATATTGATTAATCGTATTGTTACTATGTACGCGTACTAGTATTTACCTATTCGTAGAAAAGGTTTTTTCAGTCTGAAAAAAATTAATAATATCAGATAATGTGTTCCCTTAAACCATTTAACTTTTGTTAAATACATTTTTTTTTCTATCATCAACATTTTCGAAGATATTTAAGTGGATCGGTTTAAAATGCTACACCCTTATTTATATGTTAACGTTGATAATAATTTTGATAAATAATAATATATCGATTGTTTTTTAATTAATATTAATATGACTTTGATTATCATGAAGGAAAATTTTGCGTTTCTTTTTGGTTTTCGTTTTATAAAGATGACCGAATTCGTTCGATTAGATAAAGAAAATTCTAAACTTCGATAAAATATTGTCTCTAAAGGTAAATGATAATTAACAAAAAAAAAAACAAAGAAAAAGAAGTAAAAAAACTAACGTGCAATAATAATTGTCCCGTTATCATCGAATAATTTTAGACAGGAATCGAATTAATATTTTCGGAAGTGTCTTAGACAGAAGCGGTTACCATCTTGAAATAGAGACTACGATTAATCACTCGGTAATACTCGCTTTAAGGATCCGATCGACCCTCGAACGACCATCCGTCGTTGGTTTGTATGAAAAAAGAAGAAGAAAAAAAAACGTAAAGAAAAGTAAAAGAAACAAGAACCATGAGAGAGCTCTGCCAAAATCCTTTAGCATCGATGAGAGAATGAGAGAGAATGAAAGGTCGAGAGAGAACGATAGAAAGAAAGAAAGAGAGAGAGAGAGAGGGAGAGAGAGAGAGAGAGAGAACAAGAATCGTGAGTTAGCAAAGTTCGAACGGTCAGGAGTTTGGTGGGAAAGAGTAAAGATCGAGGAAGGACTTTCGCGAATAAGCGAAATTCTTTGGGTAGGTTCGAAGGAAACGTCGAAGAGACTCGCCCTTTCGAGTGGACGAGAAGAGTGGTGCAGTTGAAATAGAAAGAGAAAGAGAAAAGGAAAGAAAGAAAGAAAAAAAGAAAGACTGAAAGAAAAAGAAATAAAGATGGAAATTCGAATTTATCGTTCTGAAAGAGGATTACTCTTTGCAAAAAAAAAAAAGAAAAGAAAAGAAAAGAAAAGAAAAGAAAAAGAAAAGGAAGAAGAAAATCTTAAAAGTTGATGAAGTAGTTTACCAATTAACGATTATAAACGTATAGTAGTAATTTCACAAAAGCTACTAAACACGGATATAAATAATTAAGAAACGATTAAAATATTCGAAAATGTATGTACCTGGTACAATCGTAGAAATGTAGCACAAGAATAATAGAGGGAATATCGAATATAAATGATCGGGAGGGATGAGTGAACAAGTTGTATTAACAATGAAAGCTATTTACGATGAAAATTAAACACTCGGAGAATGAGAGGAAAAAAAAAATGAAAGAAACAAGACTAATAGATAGAACAAATTCTGTGGGGTTACGTGGAAAGACAAAAAAAAGCAACAAAAGATAGAGATATATAGAAAGAAAGAAAGAGAGAGGGAGAGAGAGAGAGAGAGAGAGAGAGAGAGAGAGAGAGAGAGAGAGTGGAAGGCAAAGAAAAAAAGGAAAAAAAAAGAGATAAACCAAAAAAGAGAAAAACGAAGAAAAGAAAATTCCAATGAAGGAGAAAGATACAAAAGACATGACGTGGTGTAAGGTAATAAAATCAAATAAGAAATAAGACGAGAGAGGAAGATAGAAAGATAGAAAGAAAGAAAGAAAGAAAAAATAGAGAGAAAGAGAGATATACGTATATATTATATAAAGGAGATAGAAATGGAAAGTGGTGGGGGGATAGGTGAGAAGGGGTGCGAATAGTGGTGGGTTCGGCACTGCGCGTCGCCTGAGCAGAGGGAGAGGGAGAGGGTGAGAATGAGAAAGAGAGAAAGAGAGAGAGAGAGAGAGAGAGAGAGAGAGAGAGAGAGTGAATAAGGATTGGTGGGGATGAAGCAGCTAGGGTAGCTGGAGCTCGAGTGCGAGCCCGCGGTACCTACACGCCGGGTCTGGGTTTGGCCGGGTCGGGTGCTGCGCAGGCATAGCGGAGTGGAGCAAGAGCAAGAGTAAGAGCAAGAGCAAGAGCAGAACAGAGCAGAGAGGCAGTGCCAGTACCAGTTACCAGTGGTAGAGCCGGATCCAGAAAGAGAGCCAGTACCATCGGCAGCTGTAGTGGCGTCAGAAGTGAGCCGTGTACACCTGCCACGCCACTCGATACGCATTTGCTATAGTTCGAGTTGACGTTCGAATTGTTCCTCTTCGATTTAAGGAGACCTATGTGATAGAAACAAGATCAGAGATAGAGAGAGAAAGAGAGAGACAGAGAAGAAGAAAGACAGAAGTAGTGGTTGAAAGAGGGAAAGATAGAAAGAAAGAGAAAAATAGGAAAAAAGAACAAGTTGTATGTATGTATACATAGAGACACAGTTAAATAGAGGAATACATAGACAAAGGATCAAAGCAACGAATACACGTTGAGATATATCTCAACATCCAGCTCGCGAGCCACCCCTTGAACCACCCTCCCCCCCAAAGCATTCTCCCCTTTCGCTCGACCACCCCTCTTCTAGCCGACTCCTCGCTTTAGACTACCCTTCTCTCCCCGAACTTTCCTTCCTTCCTTCCTTCCTGCCTGCCTGCCTGCCTGCCTGCTTGCCTGCCTGCCTCCTGCTTGCTTCTCTGTCTCTCCGTTTTCCTACATGCTACCTATCTTCTTTTCTCTTATTCTTACTTCCCTTTCTACCGTCTCCTAGTTCCATGTTATCTCTCAAATAATAAACTTGAATCGTTCGGGTCGTGTGCGGTTAGAAAAACCATTTATCAGTGCCAATACTTAATCATCGCGTTAGTGAAAATTGTCTAAATAAAGAGAATTGTTAAATTTTTCAAATGGATCGAGAATGAAGAGTCAGTGAATATCTAACTGTAGTTTGTTGTGATATTGTTCGTAGGGATCAGTGGATTTCGATCCCAAAAATTCAGTGGACGACCTAGTATTACTACTACTAATACTATTACTACTAAAGTGGACTGTGTGAGAAAAACTCGACTTGCCATTAGTTCGCTTAGGAACGATCGACTTGCATCCCGTTGTCAAGCGAATGCTAACTATTTTGATAAACTATTTATTTTTATGACAATATTTGTATTTGTGAAGAATTTCTTGCTGTTATCTGATTGGTGGTAAAAGCGTGGGTTGGTACATAAGCGAGGCGTTCAACGTGGCCGATCATTGGACATGTAAGTAAACTTCTTATATAGTTCTAATAATCTACGTTAATTAATATTCTCCATTTAAATCTATTAAATTAAAATGCATCATTTTTCCATTCGGAGTGTTGCTGATTGATTTACACATCTATCGATGATTCGCTTAATAAAGATTCCTTTGCGGTAAACGTTAATGAATTTTAATTCTCGACACTTATTACGTTTTGATCGATCGATTCGTTAGGCCGAACGAATCTTTATTAAAAGTCCCGTTTAAAATCGATAGTAATAGAATTCATAACCGGACACAGTTACGGGATCAACGGCTACAAAGTTAAATTCGATTTCATTTCATACACCTAACAGAAATGGTTGAGAACAGAGAATTGACCGATGAAATACCTTGATTCCAGATATACATATGTATATATATATATATA